CCGGTTCACAAGTGCAGGAGCTTAAAAGTTCAAACAGGTGATTGCACGTTGCGTTGGCAGAATGGGGTACACTTTATATTAAATGATATTTAATGCACTGGAGCTACTATAAAGTGCCATATGGAGATCGGATCTGCCATGGCGAGCGTTGATCTACAGCACGTCCCATAATACACCACGGTGAATATAACGAAGCACAACGTGGTATACCGTGCCTTCTACACTACGTTAGTTTATCGTATATTACCCTGCTGCAGTAACAGTGAAGTAAACTTTTAAGGAAGTGTCAGTTTACGCCTTGTTGTGCTGACTAACTTAGACATTGATGAGCTGACTGTACAAATTAGTCGATCAATCAATGATTCGGTCAGTCGTCCGCTAACTTAAAAAAAGGTACTTTTGTAACATTTCGTTATCAGTTCAAAGTCTTAACATGATACCTTGTTAAAACGATACAAACTACTTATCGTAAAACGTCAACTCGTGTGAGTTGGTTGTTAACTCGAGAGGCGCGTCTGAAAACAGGAAACAAAGGGCACGATAAGATGGACGTCAGGCCTGAACAAAGTTTAAACAGAAATGCTCATAAATACAACCATCCCTGTGCAAATACCCCAAAATATCACCCGAAAAGCACCAAGGCGCTCAACTGAGACGTGGAGTTACAGTTTATAGACGGATTTACTGCATTTTGGATAACGATAGAGGGAGACAAACACCCCCCGCCAGCCGCCTGGCCGGTAAGCCCTACCGTGACACCTAGAGGCCGGCGACGGCTCCTACAAAAACGTTTCCGTGTTCGGAGGCAAAGTAACGGCTTCACTTACTCCCGGCTGCTTCTTTTCCCCGTTTTATTCTCTTGGATACACGGCGTCTGTGGCTGCTCCCTTCAGTCCCGCGGTGACCGTCCGTACGTGCCGAGCGCCGGACTAATAATTTTCTCCCGCTTTAGAAGAGTGGGCCTAACACAAAATGGCGGCCAATAAGCGCTAACGCGGCTGCGCAAACACAGCACCCGAGGGAGTAAAGGGGAGTGGCCGAGCTGTGGCAGTGATAATGGGCGCCAGATTTGAATCCTGGCGTGGGCGTGGCGTCCGCAAACACGACGGTGAGGATCGATAGAGTTGAGAGATTATTTATTAGTTTTCTGACCAGAAGGGCAGACTTCTAGTCCTCAAACACCTGCTGCTAGTCTCTGTTAATTCGGGCCTACGAGTAGTTTTGTGAGTAAAGCAAATTCCTAAGATCAGCCACAAGAGGGCAGTATGGATGTCGTAGGTTTAGGGCGGGCCTCACAACCAAAGCTCACAGCACAGAAAGTCGTGATTATACATTATGCTAAAGGATTTTGATATAATTGTGTCAGAGTGTAGCTCGATGATTGTATTTTTACATCCAGATAATCACCTGTTAGTCATATTGGATTGCCAACCCGCATTTTATAAAATAAAACTGATAGGCCTACTGAACAAAATCCTGATATTACCATGGACAGATTAAACTGCTGGGAGGAAGAAAAGAGCTGCTGGGCCCCTGTTACCCCAGTCCTTGCAGATTGTCTGTCATGGCCCCAGATGGCGGTTTTGGAGTTTAATGGCACTGACCATCAATCACAACATCCCTGGTTCAAGTCTGGCAGGGCGCTTTTGTTGCTGTCTGGAGGTCTAGAAGTATGTTTCTTCAGTGAAACTGATCATGAGCTTGACTTTTTTCAAGCATAGTCAATATCTAATTAACATGAAGACACATCAAAAACTAACTAAAAATTACATCTGCACCTTCACGCTAAAATAGCTGATGTCATATTGCTGCACATGGAAGACCTGACATGGGTTCCTGAGTGGAAAACATGTTATTTCTGGGTGGTTCTGTTGGGTTGAGCATTAACTGCTCAGAAAGACAACATATATATGTAATGTAATATGTAAATACATTCAGAAAGATGGAGAAAACAAAGGTGCATAGGTTTGGCCAATTATCTAAAATACACAATAATATCACAATAATAAATCGATATGTGAATGATATAAAGCATGTTCTAATCAATAAAGGCAGAGTAAATTATACATTTACAAATATCAAAGTGTTTCACACCAGAAAGTGAGTTGCCTGGTTTGAATATTAAATAACCTATTAGTCAACACAATTCCCATGAAACTCATGCCCTCAGGGGGTGCCTGTGTGTTATTTTATGGTTTCTGATCAAGTGTCACAGCTCATTATCAAGGTCATCTCTGGACTATTTAGGATGTCTAGTATTGGTAATACATCTCGCTTTGACAGTCTCTGTTTTTGTACACTTTTTTCAGTGATAAAAGGATCTCTCAGGTTGGTCTGTCACGTACAGCATTTCAGAGCATCTTTCCGCAAATGAAATAAATTATTAATTTGTTACATAACCAGAACATTTTGTTCATTTCAGCTATATTTTCCAATGCAGTTTATATTCATGTATATGAACGTGTCACAGGCTAGGGTGCATGGATGAAACAAATGTGAGTGTGGTCACAATATTCCTCTCTCTCTCTCTCTCTGCCTCTTCTTATTTTATCTCCATCTTTTTGTCATGGTTTTCCTCTCTGAGGGGAGGGGGCAGAGAAAGGCGAGGCTCTGTTGTCAAATCTGTCAGTCTAGCTAGCCTGGCCCCTCCCACCTTGGTGGACGCATTACATACTGCTGGTGCTCCTGCTCTTAGCAACCGTGCCTCAGCAACAGCGTGCCGTGTCTCCCCAATGGAGCTGCCGTTGGGCGGACCAGCGCTCAGGCACTACACCCAGAGCAGACCGAGACCTCACCGACAAAACTGAACTATCGTCCCAGCAGACCGCAGGTATTGTGAAGGAGGATCAGAGGGGTTTTGTAAAAATGGAGTGTGAGGGAAAGGTGTTGTGTGTGTGAGGAGAGAAAATGGATGGGAGGAAGAGAGGAGAGATGCAATAGGGTACAGAGGGGAGAGGCAGGGGGAAGGGAAGGACAGAGGGGAGTGCTGTGAAAGATGCCTGAACCCTGCTTGAATAAGGCAGTCCCATTGTACCGGTCACCGGCTGTTTGAAGAACCCACACTTGGTATTTGTCTGAATGTCTTCCTGTGCTCTCACCGGAAAAAGCAAGTGGCTTTTATTTTTGTCATAGGATTTTATCAAAATGTAGAGAGTGTGTGTGTGATCATCTCCATTTTCCACTGAGCTGATCATGTTGTCACAGAGCCGTTGGGCTGTAGACATACAGTCACTCCCTTGGAGCCAATGGCCCAGGGAGACAAAATTCAAGCAATTCCCCCGACAGGATATCATGTAACGGTGACTTCTGCAAAATTTGTGTCCTGCAGTCAACCTCCTGGCTGCTTCTTGTGGACACAGATGTTAATATAATCAGGATGATGAAACACTGTATAGCTGCGATTTAAATATCCCATTACCTACACTGGCAAAATGAGTTATCCTGCTTTCATTCCGCATGTAAAATCCAGCGACGCCCCCCCATTGCATGTTACTGAGCAACTGACTCCCAGGAGGCTGGTTTGTAGCATAACTGGATGAGAGATTCAAACCAAAATACACCTAAAGAAACACTAGTGCCAGAGTGTGTGGGTTTTTCCTGAGGTGAGGGTTACGTAATGTAAAGTTATGTTACTCCGCAACATCACTTTGTTTGATCTTTTGGTGTGAAATGTGTTTTCTGTGCATGTGTGTGGTAATTAGGAGACCATAATTGAGAGTGACAATGAAGTCCTTGAGCTCATGGGGAGGGTGGATGAAGGAGTTGAAGAGTTCTTTACTAAGAGAGTACTTCCTACAGATGCACTGTGAGTATCACCGGCTGCCACACTAGCCTGTTAATAGTTCCTTGATATTTAGCTAATGTAGATACTAACAATACTGCGATACTTTAGAACCGAATCCGCACAGTAGTGATTTGATATACAGTATATGATCCTTCATATAGAAAAAAGCAAGATGAGGAATCTATCACGGTTCACGAAGTGGCTCCTGCGAGCTCTGTCCCTTGTCCACCCCCGACGAAAACACTCAGGAGGAAGCTTGGCGATTTCTTTACACTCAAAAGAGGCGAGGTCTGAAATCAGAAACAAGCCACGAGGGGCGTCCCAAAAAGGCTTCCATCGCTGATCTCATCCGCCCGCTCAGGGAGGTCGCCAGAGCCGAGAAAGAAAAGATAAGGACAGAGTGAAGGAACACGACAAGGAAAATGAAAAGGAGAAAGGGAAAGAGCATCCCAACGCTGCTGGAGAGTCAGCTGTTCAGGAGACACCTGTTTCTGGTGCTCCGCCGCTGAGGGCTGAAGGGGTGCCTCCCCGCCGAGCTCTCAGAGAGGGGAAGTCCCAGTCTCTCATTTTGCTCTCTGGATCAGCAGCAGCGGGGACCACTAATGCCAGAAACACTACAAAGGTGAGTAGAGTTTAAGTCATATTTAGGTCAGAAGATAAGTTTTGAGAAGCATTCATTACTCTGCGTTCATGATTTCAGAAACAATTCGAAGGCCAACATAGCTTTGAACAGAAACTCCATCTCATGCTTCAACGTATTGGAGTTTCCAAAGCCCAACCAGGAGAGACACAGGTGTGTGAGTGTGTATGCCTGAATTTAGATATGTATACTGTAGGAGTCTGTGTTTAAAATACCTCTTTTAATCTTGTAGAATCAGGAGGGAGAGATGAAAAAAGCAGAATCTGAAGGTATGTTCCTTTATCTGTTTGATGTTTAATATGATTAAAACCTTCTCTGCTCCAGCTCAGTGTTAATGAAGCAAAATTAATCTTTGAAGGTGAGAGATTTGTATCAAAAGGAGAGACTTTCTGACATGGATCAGTTCTCCATTAAAAAATATTTAATATCTCTTTAGGCTCTTCATTATTCTTTATTATAGGGACATAATAGTGAATTAACTCCTGTGGTAAAATAAGATGTAAATTATCTTTGTACCTCAGGACAATCATTGACAGTAAACCTGAGCCACCACCTACTTTCACAAAACCTCGAACAATGTCGGCGTCGTCAGGTAAAACACCAACACAAACACTGATTCACTCTCTCACATGTGTACGATAAATAATTTGCACATACATTTTTTCCCTTTAGATACAAGGCATCAGATTCGCCCAAGTGTGTCAGCACATGAGTCAGCTGGGAAACCTGCTCTGCTTCCAAAGCCAGTTATCAAGCCGGTTCCAACATCCGGCCGCAACACTCCTGAGAACGAGCTAGCTCAAATACAGGAAGGGGAGACAAACACGCCCACTAAACTGAGTCCAACTGCAGCTCCGTCTACCCCTGCTGCTCCTGCCCTCACTGCTACCACCACTCCTACTGTACTGACAATCTCAAACTCAGTCCCTGACTCAACCAATTTTACAATTTCCCCTTCAAGTACTGTACCGTCCTCTGACACCGATATATGCACTGACTCTGTTAACCCTACTGCAGCAGCTACAACACCCACAAATGTTACAGAGCCCGACAACAAACCCTCCATCCCTGAAGCCACTACCACTGAACTACCCACCGCCACATTTCTGACAACCCATACAAGCTCCACTACACCCACAGAGCCCCCCGCCACTGTCTCAGTTACTTCCACTTCCTCTGAGTCCATTACTCCAAGCCTCTCTGTCACTTCCAACTCAGCAACAATAACTGCGCCTTCCATTACCACCTCGGAAACTGTTTCTGCTCCTAGCAACAAAAGCCCAGTTTCCACAGCATCAACACATCTGTCAACTGAATCGGCTTTCCCAGAGCCAGATGGTATTCTCTCATTTGCTGCTGCTGCTCCTGATGCAGCTATTTCTGTCATCACTACATCTTCTTCTTCTTCTTCTTCACCCTCCACCAGCACATCAGATATGCCATCCGGTTGTCTACTACCACCAAGTCAGTTCCTGAAGCTGGTGATGAGTCTACTTCAGTCACCTCCGCTTGCTCTGTAACTTTAGTTCCATCAGTCACTAAAACAACATCCCCACCTCTGAACTCAAGTGATACCATTACAACTCCAGTTACGCCTGACGGACCCATTATCACTTCATCCTCCTCTGCCCTTCCTCCCACCAGCTCCATCTCTTCCACCACCACCACCACTACAAGCCCAACATCCACCGACTGCATGAACTCTGTGACTCCTTCCACCATTACTCACCCAGGCACTTCTAGCCCCGCAGATAACTCTGCTCCCTCCACTTCTTCCAGTGAAACAAACCCTACAGACACCACCACCACCACTACCAGTTTAAACCGTGCAGACACCACGTCCACCACCAGTTCAACAGCCGCAACTGCAATTAGCTCCCCACTCCCGACTGACTCAGACCCACCTTACACTAATGTCAGTACTGCCCTCACACCGACTATCTCTGACATCCCCACTACTGATAACTCAAGTGCTACATGTCACCATTCGACCAGTTCAGCCCCCTCTAATGATAGTCCAGGCCAAGATAACGATTTACAGACATCTCCTGAAGAAAGATCCAGTGTAGAACCTACAGAGAAGAGCACAGGTAGGTTTTAAGTTCTATATGTAAGTATATAAATATTATATGTATATTTGTTGATGTATGTTGAATGGTGTGTGATTTTTGTCTCTAAACAGCAGATGGGGAGCTTGAGATGGTTAAAAAGAGCAACCAAACTGAGATGGATGAGAGCCAGAAAGTCATGGACGGTGGGAAGGAGAGCGAGAGCAAAAATGAGAAACCGGCTCCGGTCAACAGCGATGTGATAAAGGAACAAGCGCAGGAACAAAGTATGAAACCTGAAGAAGACACAGTGAAAACAGAAGTGGGAATGGCTGAACCTACATCAGGGAAAGATGGTGCGCTGCATAGCGAGGGCGATGAGGAGGTGGTAGGAGATCAAAAACAAGACGAAACCAAGTCAGTGAGTGAGAAGTAAATCAGAAATAAAGAAATTGCTAAATATGGGACCAACTACTGTGACAGGGGCAGGAGAGACCACAGTAAAGGGTAAGGGTGGGGGGAAGGGTGGGGGGGGTATGTTCCATGGCACTTCCTACAGGGACCACCACATTACAGCAGCACACCACAAAGGGTGGGCCACTGGACCAAAGAACTGAGATCCCCTTGGTGTGATGTAATCAACAAATCCAGCAGTGTCTTTGTCCTTTTTTAACTTATGTTTGAATTTTTGCATTGCACGTATGATTATGTACCATAAGACAACTACTGTGGTAAAATACACCATGTTTACAATAGATGGATAAGAGACATAGTTATGAATATTAAATGGAATATTGAATTGACTGAGTAATTCCCTTTGCGTTTTTTTAGGTGTTAATACATTATTTCTAACAAAGTAACTCAAGGTACACTTGCTAACTTTTTCTGGAGCCCATGTCCTCCCTAAGTTGCCTTGGAGATAGCTCAGTTGTTATGACAGGTGGTGCTATATTTGTTGTTGTCTCTGTTCAACAATGGTCTTTGGTGGTCGAATAGCCTGAGCAAAGTCCAAAGAAGATTGTGAAAGTAGTAAAAGCTCCAAAAAAGCTGGTAAGCAGACCTTGAGTTAAGTTTTTTTGTCAAACAACTGTTTCCATGCTCAAGAATTAACTTTCATGCTGACACTAATGTATGTTTGAAGGATTTAAAATGTTAATACACAATATTTATTTATTATATTTCATATATTTGTAAACACGACCATGTACAATATTAAACATAAATGTTATCATATACATATTTCTCTTATTAAGCCATGGCTCCATAGGGAAATAGTTTGATTTATACCGGGGGGTTAAATTATATGTGCCCAGCAGAGCTTTCCTTAACAAAACTCTGAAATGGAGGTCATTCAGGAAATGCAGTGACATTTTTATCCAAACTAAATGCTCTTAATTATATAATTTGCAGTTGGAATGTTTTTAATTGCATGTATCAACAAATTCAAATACTTAAGTTACTATATAAGTCTTGAAGACAACTGGCCAAAGCCAGATGTAACGAAGGGCTTCCTTCTGTCATGGCTGGGACAGGTGTCTGTGTGAAAACTAGAGTGGAATTCATAATAATGTCCTACCTCTTGCACATCTACAGCTCATCATGAATAAATGCTGATTTTTTTAAACATTAGATATTCATGCTTGTTGATGCTGATTGACAGACATCCTGGGAATCCAATGAAAGATCTGCTGGAAGAAATTAGTGTCAACAGTTTGAGCACAGAGAGATTTTTTTATAGACTAGGCCTTCACACAAACAAAAAAACTGTTGCAGTTGTGTCCTCTTTAATTCAACATTTACACTAAATTGTGCTTCTTGAGGTGCTCTGATTGATGGTAGTACAGGAGATTGACCTAGTGGCTCCCTGCAGTGCAGCATAATGTGAAGTGAAAAAAGGTTTAATATGAAACTCCCCCTTAACACCGTTATACCAGACAAGGTATAACAGGTCTGGTTGAGAAACTTCTCACGTCTGTAAAAATCCATCTTCATTAACATAAATGTAAACCACTGATGTGCATCATCCAGACCAGCGGGTGTCGCTGGCGGTGAGATCAGCCACAAAACCGCCCTTCACCCGGAAGAGGCGGACCGAGGGAAACGACGGTAGAGAAATTGTTGTGGACAGAAGTCCTCAGAATTTGTTAAGTTATTTAGATAATCCAGCGAGCTAAAAACCGAAACCTACCCGAGCTGTATCTGCGGGAGGATTTCGCCTCGTCGTGCTCACGTTAGAGATGTCGGTCGTGCCTCCCAGTCGCTCGTCCGCCGGCTGGCCGCGCGGTGGTGCCGTTCAGTTTGGGAACAAATACATCACCGGGCCTGCTAAACCGCTCACACTGGAGAGGACCATCAACCTGTGAGTTCATGGGGGCACACAATGCACATGCAGCTCGTATCAGTATCAAGATGTGCCGGTTAATTTTCTTCCACCGACAGTAAAATCAATCGTATCTAACGCGCTCAATCAGCTAATTGTCTTTGATGCCTGCACGAATAACGTGTGGTTAGCTCCCTGCTGGAGCTATGAGGTATTGATCACATACAATATGTTTGATGCAACATATCGGCGTCTGTGGCTATATTATAGGTTTTGTTAGCTAAGAATATTAGGAGTGGGAAATTTGAAAAACGCTAAAATCGTGGGACGCTAAAATCGTATCAGATGATAATAATTATGGCTGCAACTTAATTATTTAATTGATTGATTAAATAGTCCATCGACAGAAAATTGACATCTATTTTGCTTATAGATCGTATTTTAAGCAAATATTCCCAATATTCACTAGCTTCAGCCGAATGGGAATATGCTGGGGTTTTTTTGTTTGTTTTCTGTAATATTAATCCAAATATATTTGGCTTTTGGTCTCCTGGTTACATTACACATTTACAGTCTATGTACCCAACGATTAATCAAGAAAATAATCAGCCGATTAAATCGTTAGTACAAATAGTTGTTTATCAACCCAAATCAATTAATCCATCTTTTTTTTTTCTTGATAAATGGTTTACTCGATTTGATCTATAAAATGTCAAGACATAGTGATCAAATCCCAAGTTAACATGTTGAAGTTGCTTGTTTGAAAATACATTCTGTTTTTATTTCATGGAATAAAAAAAACAAAACAGTAAATATTCATCATTATTATTATTATTATTATTATACTGTATATCACAGCATTACTTTTTATAGCAGGTAGGTATGAACAACACTGCGATGATCTTGGATGCTTATTGACTGTTCATGTGCGTATTTTTGCTTCAGATACCCTCTTACCAACTACACGTTCGGCACCAAGGAGCCTCTGTATGAGAAGGACAGCTCCGTGGCCGCTCGCTTCCAGCGGATGCGGGAAGAGTTTGATAAAATGGGAATGCGGAGGACAGTGGAGGGTGTTCTCATTGTCCATGAACACAGGCTGCCTCATGTGTTACTTCTGCAGCTGGGCACCACGTTCTTCAAACTGTGAGTAGTTAATGTTCAGAGGCTTCCAGTGTGAACCAGCAGTATGAACAGGCGTCTGAAAGTTTGCTTCTCTTCTGCAGACCCGGCGGAGAGCTGAGTCCTGGAGAAGATGAGGTGGAGGGTCTGAAACGCCTGATGACCGAGGTAGCTACATCACAGCACAGTTTAAGCTTCTCGTTGATGTGGTGACTGGGGAGTTGACACACATTAACTGTTGTTTGGGTGTTAGATCCTCGGACGGCAGGACGGCGTGAAACAGGACTGGGTGATTGACGACTGTATCGGCAACTGGTGGCGCCCCAACTTTGAGCCTCCACAGGTTAGTACACACAGATGACAGGGATAGTAAGAAGTTCTGAGAATTTCATTAACTGAAGGAACATTTTTAAGAGACATTTATAATTGAAAGCCGTGTTTCGTTAACAGTTCAGTATTTAAATGTTTTAGCAGCCTCTGTCGGCACCTGTTGCCCGTACCTGTGGTCACTGAAGTTTGAAATATGTCCACAAACTCTAGTCTGTATATGTACATAGCTTTTTATGAATTACAAATGAGATTTAAATATACAGTTTTGAGACTTACTTTCACTGTCATTGCTAACTTAACAATATAACTAATGTGAGGTAAATGTCAAATTCTCAAATATAGTGGAAAAGGGTGTTTGGTCTGAGTGGATTATCTGTGTGTACAAATTGACTCACTGTCTGTCAATGTGATAGTTTTTACTTGTAAAGTTATGGTGCACTAGAAACACACAGGTTACTGACTACAACAACATGCAGATTATGCTTCATAAATCCAGCTAAAACATGAAAATGCACTCTGAATCCCAGCCTGAAGCCTTTTTAGTCAATCGGTCATTAACATACAGTTTGTCTGTGCTAATGTGATCTAATCTGAAGTTTTTTGTCTTGCAGTATCCCTATATTCCAGCTCACATCACCAAACCTAAGGAGCATAAGAAGCTATTCCTGGTTCAGTTGCAGGAAAAAGGTCAGTATATCACAATGTAATTCGTGAAATATTTTGCATATCAAATCAAACGCTTCCTAAACTTGTAGAAAAGGGGGCGATTTGGCTGCGAACGCACCCTCCTGCTGCTACGGTCCAGAGTAGAAGTCCACGAGCCCACATGTTTCCGCTGCGCCGCGGCTGCCGGAGTTGGTCGCGGCCCTTCTAGTCAATGCTTGGGAGTCCCAGAAGCATGCCAGATGCAGCTCTCTGCTCTGCTCCGCGGAGAATACACAAGTCTGTTTTTGACAGAAGCCACGTCAAGCTGCACAGAGCAGATCAAACTGGGCAGTCAGTCAGAACGGTATAGAGAACCTGGTCAATTTAAAAAAAAAAAAAAACGCCTGTGCAATACTCGCGATCATAAATCAACAAAAAAAATATCCATTTATCTACATATCCTACTTAATCATAGAAGAAGCACAAAAAGCAAGCACTGATTACCAAATCAACAAAATCTAAACAAGTCAGCAAAATGAGGCAGGCAAAACGCTCTGATTCTGAAATGCTTCCTGTGGGATATGCAGACAACCGCACAAAACCGGGTCGCAGAGAGCTGTTGCTTGTAAGCAGAGTAGAAGCCATAGGTAGAAGCACCAAAAGGACAAATTAACAACAAGCCAACAATACGCTCAGCTGCTGAAATGCTTCTGACATGCTTCCAGTGGAAGCAAACACTGTGCAGAGGATGGGACAAAACCGTGGCGCAGTCGTCGTATTCAGTGGACTTTCCGGGTAAAAATGTTATATTTTGCTTCTAGGAGATGACTCATTTTTAGGACCAGTCTTATTTTGATACTCAAATATTTGTACATTAGCAGAAATGCAGCACATCATGGATGTGAAAGCAGTTGCCTGTTTTTTTTTGTTTTTTTTTAAACTTGAAAGTGCAATAAAATTATGCTGTCCCGCAAATCAAAGAATAATCATGATAAATAATCGTCATTATCGTTTTGGCCATAATGATAATTGAAGTTGGTAGATGGAGGTATGAATGAGAGGAGAGAAAAAGTTCCTTTGTATCATTGCTTCTTGTTTTGAAACCTGTGATCCGTGTTTCTACAGCACTGTTTGCCGTCCCCAAGAACTACAAACTGGTGGCAGCGCCGTTGTTTGAACTGTATGACAACGCTCCTGGATATGGACCAATCATTTCCAGTCTACCACAGCTATTGAGCAGGTATTGTGTATGTATTGTTTTTTTACGTTCATTATCACGGTGGCATAATCAAATGTAAAGGGCTGGGATCCATTATTTTTTCACATGAATGGCCTTTTCCAGCATCTGTTATGGTAAATTACTGACAACCCCTGTTCTACCTGTAACTTTTACTCTAATCAATTAGCATCTTTCCTTCATGTCTGTAATGTAACAACCTGGTTAACGTTTCTTCAACACCAGTTTACACAGTGAAAGCACTCCCTTGTTGGTATAACCTTCAGCTGTGGGCTGGAGGGAGGCAAGACTACTGCTCTGGTTTGAAGAACCGTTTTCGATATCCATCCCGTTGAAGTGTATGAGCACAACACTGAAGCGCCTCCAAATTCAGTAACTGAACCTGCACTACAGCTTATTTATACAGGTGCATCTCAACAATTTAGAACGTCATGGAAAATTCATAAAAAAAATTTTTTCCATAAGTTAATTCAAAAGGTGAAACTTTCATATATTGTAGATTCATTACAAAGAAAGTCAAATATTTAAAACAGAATTTTAGAATAAAGTATTTAAAATACAGAAATGTCGACCTGAGAACAGTTCTAATCGGCTAATTAACTCAAAACACCTGCAAAGGTTTTTTGCCATGAAGCAAAAGGAGACTTACACACATGATAGCAGATTAACACATGCTGAAAAAGGTTTAAATACAGTTATTTATTGTTAAAACATTTTTAATCATTTAAAAGATTCAATGCCAAAATTCTTGTCTCTTAACATTAATTGAATTTGTCATAATGGTCATTTCTTTTTATAGGTTCAACTTCATTTACAACTAACTGAGTGAGCAGAAGTGCGTCTGGCTGTCTCTGTGAGTGCAGCGGTGTGCTGTCTGAGTGAACATGAGCGGGAAAACACGTCTCATCTTTAGCTCAACTTTCACAAGAAAGAAAAGCTTGTCATGTCAGGTATATCGACAGTTCACAGGGGTGTTTATACTGTTAGAAGAAAAGAAAAATGTCATGTGTCTTTTTTTTTTTTAATCCTGGGAAACTGCTAGTTTTTGTAGTATCCAAGTCTGTATTCCAGTGTGCAAAGAATCTGATTTTATGTCCTCAGAGGAGGCCAATGTTTGATTAAACAAACTACATCATTGAGTTTCCTGTTGTTTTAACCTGTAACAATGCTGTGTTTTTGTCTCTTTTTAATAAAGCAGTCCTTTTGAGTATGTTTTTATAAAGTTCAAAGAGCAAGTGAGTGGCTGGTTTCAAAGTAAATATAAAGCTCTTTGGGAAGAGATTTTTTATTTTGGTTAATTCAAGACTGAGATGAAGGCGCTATTATATGAAATTGTCACAACAAAAAGTGGTAATGTTTAAAAAACAAAAACATGCTGCATGTGAATGAAAACGGCTTTAAAAAGATGTACTATTTGGTATGTAGACAGCAGTATCAGAAAGATCATGCTGCTGTTTTATATGCTCACTTGTTTTATGTTTTTATTTCTTGTTGGAGACAGTTGCCAAAAGAAAGGCAGATAGTTTCAGGCAGAGATTGTGTCCTAATCAGAATTGACACTGTTGTCTTTTACTGCAACACAAAATTGGAAATGCAGCGCACTGTGTCGGACTGCCGTACATGCTGATTTGTTGAGGAAATGTTGTCTGTATGAGTAATGAAACGGCGTTCTGTAAAAACACATTACCTCGAGGCAGAGGCATTTCTGTGGCCCTGAATGCACTTGGGCCGTCTTTTATATTTAGGTTAATAAAATTGACAATTTGCTCACTTTCAGAATGTAGCCTGTGTGAGCGTATGATACAATACACATTGATCCATTCTCTAAACCACTTGTCCTTTTTATGGTAACAGGATGATGGAGTCATCCCGCCACACAATGGCCAACTTTATTATACAGTATTGTTAAAGTCAGCAGTTTAAAAAGGTTTATTGCTTTAAACTTCATTTGTAATTCTTAATTTCTGCAGACTTTAGTAGTGGGAGTGTGAGTATGCACTCCTACAGTAAAGACTGGATTGTCTCAGCGAGTTGAAAGAAATGAACACGAAAACATAAACTAGAAGAAATAAATGATACAGTGAAACACCAGTTAAATATATGATACGTCTCTGAGAAAAGTCTGTTTTCTTTCTTAAATGCAGCCAAGCAAGATTGCACTTTCACTTTTGAACTTGGCAAAAAGAATAAATTCTTCATGAGAAACTCAACACCAGTGTTCTCCAAAAGCAATCCAAGTGTAACATTTTCTGTTGTAAAATGTGCAAACGAGTACATTACAATTACAATTAAACTTGTGTGTTCAAGTGGTACCAAAGATATTACACTAAAGGAACAGATGATCTGTAGTCTCTCACTAAATCTGTATTATGAAACATTTACTAATAAGGTACATTATCTGTTTACTTTAAGGAAGTGATATCTTTCATAGTTTTTCTGACATTGTTTCTTGCAAAATCAATAAAATATATATTTAATTCCTTATCTTTCCCTAAAGCTGAATTAAGAATGAGATTTATCTGTCCAATCAATTTGTAAAGATACATTTAACATAGAAAGGGTTTTTTTTGTCAGTTTTCCAATGATGCCTGGGAGACTCAACTCAGGGTATAGTGGCTCAACTTTAAATACGTCACTTACCCGCGACGAGCAGGCCGTTTCACACCCGCACACATTTTATGTGAATGCTGTCAAAGCTCCTCACAAACTGCGTGTTTTCCCGGTTTCCTGATAGTTTGTGCAATGGCCTCGAAACGGCGGCCGGGTGAGAGTGAGAAAACAGAGAAGAAGAAAAAGAAGAAGAACTGCGAAGAAACCGCTGAACTTTGTTCGGCTATAGAAGACGGACAGGTGACGAGAGCTGTGAAGGAGGCATGGAGCCGGAGGACTCACTACAGCCAGGGTCAGTGAAGAAAGCAACCACAAAAATAATGATGTGACAGTCGGAGGAGGAGAAGCGGACCTTATTGAGTCAGAGACGGAGATCAGATCTGTCAGTCAGGGTAAATCAGCTGTGAGCTCGTTAGTGTTTGTGTAGCTTTGTGTCCTGGTTTGTCTCGGCTCGTTGCTCTTTGACTCAGTGAAATACTGTTAAATCATAAACACAACAGCAAAGCACATTGCACCTTTTGAAGAAGTAATGCACATAGAAAACCAGGCTGATCAAGCTGCTGAAACCATCACCAGCTGCCCATGACAAGACCGCGTTAGGTTTTGTTTTGGTGGTGTTTTTTATTTAGTTTGAGCCACAGTTTGTCCAGCAAGACACTATTTTAATAACGACTTAGAAAGATGTGACAGGTGGTCAGTCTCTACTGTTATTTTGGTATTGTCTGCATTTTATTTGTTTAAATGTGATTGTTTTCTTTATAGTAGGTTTGGTGATAGGGATAAAACCCACTCCTACAGTATATGTACTTTTATATCACAATATTAATACATATTGATTTTTCTCAAGAATCAATAAATAAATTGTTTATGGATAACGTAACCAAACTGCCCGCGACCCTGTATGCAGGATAAGCGGTTGACGATGGATGGATCGTAACCAAACAGTCCTGCTCATTGATTTGCATCATTGTCTGGAGATATTAAAAGTCTACAACATAATCTCTGATGGCAGACAGATTTACACCCTCTCACATTATTAAGTTGACATATTACTCTGCCTTCTAATTGGACTGGGCAAGAAAACAGTAATGATATTTATTGCGATATAACTTTCCTCAATAACAATATAACAAATGTTTATAAATATTGGATTTAATTCATTTGAATTGCAAAACAAATCAGCACTTGTTTTTTTTATAAGGTATTTATTTTGTTATGGAAAAAATGCAGAAAAAAAGATTTTACTTAATTTTAGTCACTGACACTTGTTTTAAAATTATTATAATTATTTTGAATGTTCAACCTCAGATTGGCGAAATGTTCTTCTGTTTTGCAAGTGTTTGTCTAGTTCTGACCTTTTAAAGAATATTTTCAAAACACAGTTAATCGTCTAGTTTCTTCAACTTTCAATCAGGAGCAAAAATCAGCCCTTAAACTTGAAAGAAATAAGGATTTCACATTTATCATGATTATTATTGATATTGATTGATTCATTCTAATATGCTGAACAATTGGATCTGAGTTGAGGACCATTTTTTCTCTGTTTTTACATGAAATATGTATGTGTTGTATCATGTAACTTTTGTGTGTGTCAGCCTTCTTTATTGGGCCCAAATTATATTTCTTTTGTTAAGCGTGTTTCTTAACACTCCAGTTAAGTTTAGATTTTGTGGCTGGAGCTGCCCCGAGACTTTAGCAGAGCCTTTTTAAAAGCAGAAGCGAGTTATGAGTGAACATCTTTTGTTATTTGTGTGCAGGGGATCTGGAGTTGGACTGCCACCCTTTCCCTCACTGCGTCATCAGGAACTTCCTCGCCAGCGAGACCTTCGTAGAGAACCTGCAGAGTGAACTGCTGGAGCTCAACTTCCACGAGAAGTCAAACGATCTGTACAAATTTAAACAGGTGTCTATCGAACTGATCTGATCCGATTTGTTTCAGGAGGTTTGTGGTGTTGTCTTCATTTTGTCATTGTTCCCATACAGTCAGATGACCTGGGGAAGAGAACGGAGCCACATATTGCGGGACTGAGGTAGGAAATAGCTTGTATTATTGTGCTTGGTTACTGTATTGGACAGTCCTAATATATGTTGGCATGAGTTTTATTTTATTTGCAACAGACTTATTGAGCAAACAAGGGTAAATATAGACAAAATAAAGTGTGGATAATGGTTGGTGTTTTGACAATTTGAGCTGCTCTCTGTGTGAGCTGCTACAAGTAGAGGTAGCTCTCTGTCAGGTAGGACACAAGCCAAAAAAGTACTTTTTATGCACATTTACACTACAGCTCGTCTGTTCTGATAGACATCACATTATGTTCTTTTGGTAGACTCAATTAATCAATTTTCATACAATTTGGGGAGCAAGTTGGTGTCTTATTGTTTAGTTGAAGAATCGGTATTGAACCGCCAATACGGCAATTAATCTCTACAGCTGTCCCAACTGATCTACAGCTGTCCCTGAGAGATGAACGTCTAGGTTTCTATGTTTTGGGAAACAGAGATCCTCTCCCAGCCTTGAATGAACATTCCAGGAGAGGAGAGGAACAACAAGAGGGAGAAAACACCAAAACAATCTCACAGCTCTGACCTAAACCCTAGTAGGTTTAGCCTCTAAAAGCTTTTGCTTTGAAACAATGAGAGAGAGCATGTTGCAGTCACACATGGCATATTGCAAAGGTATTCAACAAAGAGACTTGACATAGATTTAGTGTTTAAAGAGATCTCTTGAGGGAATTGCTTTTCACATCTAGAAATCAGCAAGGGAGAATTTGTCATCACTGTCTGCATTGTTAAGTAGTTGAAAATAAGTTGTTTAATGTGAGCAGCATAAGAAGCGGACCAAGTGATTATGAGACGTTTTGGACTCCACCAGGTGGTGCCAGAGATTACATCTGACTCCTAATTAGTATGTTTTCCTCATTAAGTGCTGTTGACTCTGAAAGGTAGCAGTCACATTTGGTATGGTAGGGCTGTACAGTAAACGTAATGGAAAATGGATCCAGCTGCAGTTAATCACCTGTGAGCACAAGGTGCTCCTTGTTAAGGCAGAAAGACTGTGTCTTCTCCAGTGTGGTTACAGTGCTGTGAACACAAGGCTAGCACACTGTAAGGTATTACAACAGTCTAAATATAGGGGCGTCCAAACAAATGACTAGAAACAAAGCTGTTTTATGGAGCAGTAAGAGCTGCCAAACCTGCATACAGGTTCAGTGTTTGAACCACTTCCAAGAAGAATGAACATCTCATTGTATAAATCAAGACCAACATGAGTTGGGTGTCAAGTCTGAATCGAAACTAACACCTTTTGAGACTCCTACATGACCCACATAACAAAATAATGTATAAAGCCTTTCCTTTATTTAGAAATAATGTGTAGTTTTTTCACTTTGATTATAATATGCTGTGGTTACGGTGGAGAAACATCTAATTTCTTACGTATATGTACGTATATGTGATTATACAGTGATACACCTACTGAAGAAATACAGCCCTGGAGAATAAATACCATAGTTAGATACACAACAACGGCCTCCTCTTGTGATCATCTATTATTTATGTCACAACAAAATGTCATGGTAGGTTTGAGCAGTCCAATAATCTGTCTGTGTGGCGAGGCTTATACAAGGGTAAAGGGTCAGCTTTGTAGTGACTTTAGTGTCGTTACAGTACACTATTGCACAATGAAATGCATTTCACATTTTCAGGTCAGCACTGTTTGGGCGTTTCCGTTCCTGGCTCGGGGACGTGTTGGGGGTCGATCTGGAGTCCACAGTGGATATTTCTTGTGCCAGATATGAATACACAGGTGAGCTTTGTTTGAAATTATTGCTGGAAGGACTGTTATTTTTATATATATATTATAATATAATTTTCGAGTGGCCTTTTACTGTGGCCAGGCTAAGGTACACCTGTGGAGTACCCATGCTGTCTGATCAGCATCTTGATATGCCACACCTGTATAATCCATCCACCTCAGGATTATCTCAGCAAAGGACAAGTCTTCACTAACACAGATTTTGACAGATTTGTGAAAAATATTTGAAAGAAACAGGCTTTTTGTGTACATAGAGAAAGTCTTAGATCTTTGAGTTCAGCTCATGATGAACGGGGGCAAAAACAAAAGTGTTACGTTTATAATTTTGTTCATTGTGTATATATACAAACTATTAGGTACACCTGTTCAACACAAATGGCTAATCAGCCAATCACATGGCAGCATCTCAATGCATTTAGGCATGTAGAGGTGGTCAAGACAATTTGCTGAAGTTCAAACTGAGCATCAGAATGGGGAAGAAAAGGAATTTAAGTGACTTTGGATGTGGCATGGTTGTTGGAGCCAGACGGGCTGGTCTGACTCCTGTCAGCTAAGAACCGGAAACTGAGGCTACAATTCACACAGGCTCACTAGAATTGGACAATAGAAGATTGGAAAAACCTTGCCTGGTCTGATGAGTCTCAATTTCAGCTGCAACATTCAGATGGTAGGGTCAGAATTTAGCTTAAACAACATGAAACATGGATCCATCCTGCCTTGTATCAACGGTTCAGGCTGGTGCTGGTGGTGTAAGGGTGTGGGGGATATTGTCTGGCAAATGTTGGGCCTCTTGGTACCAACTGAGCATCGTTTAAACAAGACAGCCTACCTGATTATTGTTGCTGACCATGTCCATCCCTTTATGACCCCAGTGTACCCATCTTGTGATGGCTACTTCCAGCAGGATAATACACCAAGCTCAAATCATCTCAAACTGGTTTCTTGACAACATGACAATGAGTTCACTGTACTCCAATGGCCTCCACAGTCACCAGATCTCAATCCAATAGAGCACCTTTGGGATGTGGTGGAACGGGAGATTTGCATCATGGATGTGCAGCTGACAAACTGCAGCGACTGCTTGATGCTATCATGTCAATATGGACCAAAGTCTCTGAGGAATGTTTCCAACATCTTGTTGAAATTATGCTAAAACCAATACTAGATGACCGTGCGTGAGGACGGTACAACCTCCAGGCTAAAAGAGGAGAGGGACCATCCGGCTTGTTATGCACAGTGTGAAAGCCAGCATCCATGATGGTACGGGGGTGCATTAGTGCACATGGCATGGGTAACCTGCACATTTGTGAAGGCACCATTAATGCTGAACTACATATACAGGGTTTGGAGCAACATATGCTGCCAAGTAGACAACGTCCTTTTCAGGGACGGCCCTGCTTATTTCAGCAAGACAATGCCAAACCACATTCTGTATGCATTACAGCAGCATGGCTGAGTAGGAAAAGATTCCGGGTGCCATTCCCAATTTGTCACCCATTGAAAATGTTTGCCGCATTACAAAACGCAAAATATGCAGCTGAACATCCCCTACATCAAACAAGAATGTGAATGAAATCACATTTCATTTTGATTTACATTCTACACAGCGTGCCAACCTTTTAGGAAACGGGGTTGTAATAACATTCTCTCTTGTTTCTAGATGTTCTTTTGTGTCACGATGATGAATTGGAGGGGAGGCGCGTTGCTTTCATCTTGTATCTCGTGCCTCCGTGGCAGAGCAGCGATGGCGGAACCCTCGATCTTTACTCAACAGACAGTGAGTTTGCCACTTTGTCTGTGTATTTCTGTGCTTTCAGACAACCAAAGTCTTGTGCAATCTTCATCTTTTGCCTTCAGGTAATTTCCAACCACAGAGTATTGTGAAGTCACTCGTACCCTCTTTGAACACTCTTGTCCTGTTTGAAGTTTCGCCCGTCTCCTTTCACCAAGTAAGAATCGACACTCCTCCCTTTTCGTCACTGTTGCACCAAAAAAGCGGCTCTGGTTGCAGATCAATAGCATGTGTTGTGTTTGTCCAGGTGTCCGAGGTTTTGACAGAGGACAAGTGTCGTCTGTCTCTGAGCGGCTGGTTTCACGGACCATCTTTAGAGCGTCCTCCTCGCCACATAGAAGCCCCCATCCCACGGTGCCCACACTTACCGAGAGATGTGAGTTTGGTCAAAGGTGCACTAAGATGAATACAGTTTTATTTACTTCTATCTTTATCTTTATAGGAATAGTTGGAAGATACACTTTCCTTTCAACAGTCAGGCTATTCAATAGGAATCTTCAGATGGCAGCTGCTTAGCTTAGCTTAGCATAATGACTGGAAGCAAAAGGAAATGGCTAGCCTGGGCCTGTCAAAATATAACAAAATCCACATTCCAGCACCTCTAAAACTCAATAATCAACAAATTATACCTTGTTTGTTTAATCTGTACAAAAACCGAAGGGTATAAACAACATGTTTCAGTTTTACTGGAGTTTAGATTATTTCTTGGCCAAGTGCAGTGACTTCCTGAATAGGACCTAAGCTAAGCTTCAATTTCATATTTTGCAGACAGATGCAAGTGTGGTATCAATCATCTTCTCATCTACTGTAACTCTCAGCAAGAAAATAAATAAGTGTGTTCCCCAAAATGTCAAACTATTCCTTTGACAGACAACCTGCATTCCTGCTGACATGTGTTTGCAATGCTCATCACAGGAAACGTTGCTGCTGGAGTGGGTCAGTCCAGTCTACCTGGACATATCCTATCAAGAGCAGATTCAGGAGGAGTTTGAGGACAGCTCTGAAATTCAGCTCAAAGATTTTCTCAAGGTAACTTCTTGCCTAGCACCTTTTTCTGTCTTGCACGTGTCCACTCATTCCTGTTGGCTGATTAGGTGTCTGTCCTCAGGAGGAGAAGTACCGGGAGGTGAGTGAAGCACTGAGACTCACTCAAATTCAGTGGACTAAGAGAGGTCCGCCCAACAAGAGGTAGGGCATGTTTCACAGATCATTTCACTTGTTTGTCATTTAACTTTTTTGTGCGATTTATAAGACATGCGCTTTTTATTCATTTAGATGCCATGAAGTGGCTTCTCTGGACACCCTACCACAGTGTGTGAGCGCATGTTGGGAACTGCTTCGTTCAGAGGCTTTCTTCCTGCTTCTCTCTAACTTCACTGGCCTTCGATTGCACTACCTGTGTGCTGCTGATGGCGACGATGAGAGTAAAGATGAAGAGAAAGAGGACGTCCGGGGCGGAGAAGCCACGGGTTCTTCGTCCGAGTCACCATCAGCGAATACAAGCAGAGAGAAGGGTGCGTGTCAGAGTGAGTCTGTCTTTTCAGCCACGTGTGTGTGTGTGTGTTAACCTTTGTTTGGTCCTCAGAACTGAGCACACCTGTGTGTTGTGGTGAACTGCGTCGATGGTCTCATGGTGGCTACACTCTGTTGCATGATGCAGAGGCGGCACAAGCAGAGTATGCTTTGGACCTTGTTTTGCCTTTTGGCTGTAAGGGTGAGTCGACATACATGGATGCGCGCACACACACACACAAACAACAAATTCTCAATCAATACTGTGACTGTAACAAACTTTGTCTTTCATAGACTGGCAGTCAGAGTTTGGGGGTTTCACGTGTTATGTTGCTAATGAAGAGGATGAGGAGGTGAGTGTTGATCACAGTACAAAGTGTAATTGTGTACAATGTGTGTTCCATACTTGAGTGATTACCATAATTGCTTTGGTTTCCTCCTCTGCAGCTTCTGACCGTGTATCCAGAGGACAATTCCCTTGCCCTCGTCTACAGAGACAAAGAAACCCTCAAATTTGTCAAACATGTCAACCACAAAAGTTCCTCTGATTCTGCTGACAGCCCTGCCTGCAGAACATTTTATGATTTCTCTTTTGTGTACTATGAATAAAAATATTTATCTATCTTGTGGGTTTCATGACCTCTTTGTTTCATCTTCCTGAAGTGTTTGAGTTCATTCATCATATAATTTTAAATTTCAACCTGAGAACAGAACATACCACAAACATATTCACAAATATTTGAGGTCAGTGTAGCACACTTTGATATGTGAACAGATGGAGCTGGGGATTGAACCGCCAACCCTTGATTATTGCATGAGCACCAGTTACTCTTGGAAGGCTTAAACAGAAGAAGTTGAATTCAATAATGTTTTAATATTGTTCAGTCATACCCATTTGCAAATTCTCAGTCCTGTAACGGTTTGCTGAGGTTTTTCAGTAACATTAGATTGCTCCCTTTTAATGCATGTTCACCTTTCCTCTCTCAGATCAGACGGGGGGCACCCATTTTATTGAAACAAAAGCAGTAGTAGAACAGTCTTTGTGATTCTTGTCTAACATTTAAATTGTAATCAAAGTGTAGTCAGATAACCATCTTGGAAGACAAGGAAATGAACACAAATTTGTTTCTTAACTTCAGCTCTGTCCAGCTGCTAATGGAAACATGATGAAACAGTTTGGTTTGCTGTGTGTAAATAGTCTTTCCACATGCTTGAAAAAAAAAACACCCTCTGGTTCCAAGATCATGGAGTATAAACTGGAAGATAACTTTTACATTGAAGGATAATGCTAATATGTTTTGATTTATGTCAGACAGTGGTGAAATTATTCTTATGATCAAAGAGATGCACAACAATACAAATTATTTCATTTTAAGGAGATTTAAAAAAGCCTATTTTATTCAAAAGTGTATCCCTTACTTCAGTACATGCATTAATGGGATGAGGTTGCATACAGAGGGAGAGAAAGAGGAGGAGAGAGGAGCTCAAGGCATCATGGAAAGTCTCCTGGCAGTCTAGGCCCATAGCAGCATAACTAAGGGATGGTTCAGGACTCACCTGAGCCAGCCCTGACAATAAACTTTATCAAAAAGGAAAGTCTTAAGCCTACTCTTAAATGTGGAGATGGTGTCTGCCTCCTGAACCCAAACTGGAACCTGGTTCCACAAGAGAAGAGCTTGATAGCTGAACGCTCTGGCTCCCATTCTGCTTTTGGAGACTATAGGAACCACAAGTAACCCTGCATTCTGGGAGCGCAGTGCTCTGGTGGGGTAGTAAGGTACTTTGAGCGCTTTAAGATAGGATGGTGCCTGACCATTAAGAGCTTTGTAGGTAAGAAGAATTATTTTAAATTTTATTTCAGGATTTTACAGGAAGCCAGTGCAGAGAAGCTAAGACAGGAGAAATATGATCTCTCTTCCTGGTTCCTGTCAGAACAGGTGCTGCAGCATTCAGGATCAGCTGAAGAGTCTTAATTAACTGCATACTGTAATGTGTTTACAAAGGCTTCAAAAGTGCCATCTTAAAAGTTGCTTGTTTTTTTCTGACTATTTATTTTATAATGATATAAAACAGAGGGAAAAACCCTCTCGTCTGACAAGTTGGAACCAGCAGCTTTTCTGGCATTTTTTCTTGCTGAATGACCTCAGTTATTAATTTAATTATATGATCTGACCTGCTTTACATTTTGTATGTTTTTTCAGAAGCTTGTTTACAGCCGCCTGTTAAGATGAATACAAACAGTTTATATAAAAACAGTGAGGACCAATACTCTGCAGAAACAGAAGCATGTAGGTCTATCACAGCAAAGTGGATAAAATCGATTTAGTCGTTAAAATGGACAGTTTTGTGTTGCCATAAATTACAGTACCACTGATTTCAACCAATTCCAGTCATTGATTTTAACCACTTCCTTTATTTAATTGTTTTTAAGTCTCATCAGTTTTACCCATTATATTAATTATTATCTTTCAGTGGTAAGGAACCGGGAAGGGAAATGTTCATTTTATAGGATATGTAGCTGAAATGTTTTGACCTACATTAAAAAAAAACCCAACCACTTCCTTCCTGTCATGACATTTTGTCCTAGCGGCATGTAGATTTTCACCAATCAGAGCGTTCTTTGATTTCCGCTCAGCCAATGGGAGGCCAGGAAGTTGTGACGGCGTCAGTGGGTGTGATCACTCAGGAGGAAGCGTCCCCGAACAATATAGCAAAGTTTTAAGGTAAGTTTGTACCGACTTACTTCACAGTGAAACCGAAGAATGAGAAGGTAGAAACCGTGTTAGCCTGGTGCCGTGTCTTTTAGCAGTCCGGTAAACACTTCAGCAGTCCGTTTTGTCGTACCGTCGCCGAAGTTTAACGGCTGTGTCTACTGTACGTGAGGTTTACCAACACGAACTGTACTCAAACAATAACCCTCCTTGTAAAAGATTTTTTTTTAAACACAATTTTGCGATCCCCCCCCCCCCCCCCCCCTCCGGTTGGTCGAATCAAACTGCATTGCTGCTACAACACTCTTGATAAACCATTCACACCTGTGGCAGGTAACTAGACAACTTGTCGTGTTTTAACAGAAAGTCATCTGCACGTATGAGTCGCGTAGCAGCCACTCATTTGGCTTTTTAAAATTCCTAGTACGTGTCTTGGCAAAACGATGCATCACTTACATTAAACATTACATTTTAATCACATTAAAATACCGTGGAATTATAGTTTAATCTGGCGAGGCGTTATGAATAAATCTACATCCCCATAAATACAGCACACAATATTTTTTAGCAGCGATTGGATTGGTTTTTGGAAAGGACACTAGACCTGACAATGTGATGCTCTACAACACAATTAGTTTTGCAAAAGCTACCATCCTTTTAAAGGGTAGGTTCACCTGTTTTGTACATTAAAAGCATTGATAGTCACTGTAGCTGTTCCTCTTGTTCACACTGGCTTTAAAAATATCCCCTCCACACGTGTATTTGGATCCACAGTCCTCATTCTGTGCTAAAGTTCAGTTAACAGGAGGTTTCAGCAGTCTGAGCTGGAAAAATTTTGTGGATATGTTCAGTCTTGATTTGAAGAACCCCTCTGTGTTGCTCTCTCTCCTCTGCAGCTCAGCAAGGAAACTTCAGAATCATTTTTGCAAAGACATCCCACACAAGCTGGAGCCACATCATTTTGGCCACTTTGCTTTTTTTGTTTTGTGCTAATTATGTCAGCACACTACAATTACCTATACAAGTATTTTAGGTTCTTCTAGGTTGTAATTTGTTGTTTCACTTACCACGTTTGTCAAAAAATAAGAAATGCGTTTTTTGTGGCCAGTGTGGTCAGGAGGAACAATTACACCGACCAATAACCCTTTTTATGTATATATATACCCTTACGTATTATTTTAAGACCAATTTCAAAAAGGAGAACCTATCCTTAAAGCCCCCCACACCCATGGTCCACCTACACAGGTGTTTTCACGTAGTGTGCCTAAATAGACCTCTTCTGAAGACTGTACAGGCCGACATCTCCCTCACTCTCCTGTTACAGCACAGTACAACAAACTTACACCTCTATCATAGTAGTACATGACGTTACCTAACGTCCTGCAATTCCCTGAATAGATCCAACTTTAACCTGATGTTTATGACTTGCAAGCATTCACATTGCAAGACAGCGCAGGGCATTCATGTGGTTACAGTTCGGTGTATAGACAATGTAGCACTGTACTCATTAAATGTAGAGTTTAATAACATTGAAAGATGGACTGATGAGAGGCATCCATGTTGGTTTGGTTTTCAGCCATTGTATTAGTGATATACTGATTAATCGGGCCGGTATCTGATATTTTGAGATAATCAGCATCAACCCGAATGCCAGCACTCACAAGGCCGATAAACAAAAAATGTCTGCGGACACATCTGCAGGAAGCCTCTTCAGTGTGGCTGCTATAGAACGACGTTAGCTTGCCCCCTTTGGGAGTTTTGGGAAGGTGGTGAAAAGGTTAGTTTAGAGCCATAAAGTTCCTCAGTCACCATCATCTTTTCTAAACGTTAGATTGACTGTCTCAAGCCTGAATTATACATTTGCGTCAAATCCACATCCATCGTTGCCTGCTCGGCTAAGCGTACCTCCCCAAAAATGTAACCACACGTCTCTGCAACGCGTGGTAGCATTGCCAATTTTTACTAGCAGCAAAACAAGTAAAACGGTGGACAAACCCCCGCTGACTGGTTTCACTATCAAAATTTGATCCATTAGGTTGATAACATTTGAAAAGGCTAAGCAAGTGGAGTTCAGGCGGTGGGTGGGGACTGCAAGTCTTTGTAACCTTTTTCATCCGTGATTAGTAAGTTTGCATTCCTGATGTATATTATCTCTCGCCCTGCTCTCTAAATATCTGCATCAGCCACTGATAAACCCCTACCGGTTGACCACTACTTAGAAGTTTATTTTGTTTATTAATTTTGGTGTTGTGAGATATACTGTATAATGAGCACAGATCTACTCTCTCAGTATAACTGGAAATGCCTGTGCTGGTGTGCAGGGCATTTATATTTAGTAAACATTCAGACAAGAAGTAAGTGTGTAAAGTAGAAGATGACACTTTTGACCTCTTCTTGTTTCTTGGATTTTCAGATGTTTACTGTAAACACAAGAAGGGCAACTTCATGTCAACATGTTTTGATTTTATTTTCCACAATGGCTGTGGATTCACTTCTCTCTAAATTCCATGGATATGAATACATGACTAATTGAACAAGTTATTCTATTATATGACTAAATGATTACAGAACAGATTAACTGACACACAAAATATTCCTTAGTGATACCCTACAGTTTATTACACTATGTGGGTTTCCTTTAATTCAAGACATCATCTACGGGTCTGTTTAGTTTACAAATGGAGCTTTAAAGCACTGTAGACAGGCTGAAACGAGCACATCGCAAAAAGGTAAAATGACTAATTTGTGGAAGCACATCCATGAATCAAACATTTTCTTTTCACCTAAATGTCAGACGAGCTGTCCAGGGAATACTAGAGGTTTGCCTTTTGGCAGCAAAAGCTAAATGATATATTTTAAGCTCCTGATGATCACTTAATCCTCATACAGCTGGTGAACAAATCTCACAGTGTACTTCAGAGTACCGGTAGATAGATAGCATATTACATACTGGCTAAGTTGTGGAGATTCCTGTAGGCCCAGTGGCCAAGAACACTGTGTCTTAGTGAAATATGTGGACATGCATATAATCCAGCTCAGAGGATGCTCTTTCCATGCAGAGCTCTCTTGTGTTGGTGCATGGAGACAACACCAAGAGTGAGCCCGAGGGCCTCAGTGCTTCATTCAGAATACAGGAGTTGGGGCTGGACTGGGGGAGGGGAGGACTCAGATTAAAAATGTCTTTATGTAATGAGGGTTTCAAAAGGAGGCTAGGGTAAAAGGGGTAAAGTGGACTGAGGCCACAACAACCAGGGACCACTAGGAAAGAAGTGGTTTTAACTGCCAAGAGGAAAAAAGAGGATATTTTTGCTTGTCATTGGTAGGGCTGGGCAATTAAACAATAATGATAGTTATCGCGATAAAATTTTCCTCAATAGGAATATAACAAATGTTCAATTTTATTATTTTGAATTACAAACAAATCAACACTTGTTTTTCTATAAGATATTTATTTTGTTGAGGAAAAAGCAGTGAAAAATGTTTTACATAATTTTACTCATGAATATTTGTTGAATAAATGTTTTTTCTACCTCAGATTGGTGAAATGATCAGTGAAATGTTTTGCCTATCATGTTCTGACCATAAAGAAAAGTTAAAAACAAAATTAACCATGTTGTTTCTTCAACTTTCACTCAGGTGCAAAAATCAGACTTTAAACTTGAAAAAAATAATGATTTCAAATTTACCGTGTGTATATTACCGATATCGACCTATTTTTTTTATTGTGAGAACATTTTTCATCCAGGCAGGTCAATTTGGAGAGGTTATATTTTGCTCAAGTAATCAGAAGATTATGACAAATACAACTGATTTTGTCACCACACGTTTTTTTATTTATTTTTTTAGTCTGTAATAAGGCAGAAATTAGTGAAAAGTGCATATCACAACTGATGATGAAATAGATGGTTTGGTTTGACCAACAGACAAAAGATATTCAATTTACAATAACAGAAAACAGGAGATTCTCACATGTAAGAAGCCAGGCCAGTGAATGTTTGGCAACTTTGCTTGAAAATGACTTAAATGGTTCCACTTTGTCCCATAGAAACCACACTACCTGTGTCTTGAAATGTTAAACCGCTAAATGATGATATAATAAAATGTACTACTTATTTTTGTTCCAATGAAATTGTATAAAGTTGTCATGCTTACATAAAACACTGAATGTAATCATGAAAATTGTGAATTGCTCCATCCCTAATCCTTTGCAGTGTTGATCTTTGTGGGTTTTAGGTTTATTTAGGTCTCATGATATCATGTAAAATTGTTCTAGTATTATGTAATAATAGCCCTTCTCAGAAATCCTTAAATGAGTTATAGCAGGAGCAATAAAAGCAGTCATTTATATTACAGTCAATCCTATTGATTAATCCCACTTTACGCAAGAGAGATGGAATAATACTATAGTATTAAACTATATTATTGACTCTATGTTGCAATATAAAGTCAAACAGCTGTTACAAATGTAGGCAGAGGAAAACAGCTTACATTCTGAGTCCACTCAACGGTTCACTGAGCGCTGAATACACAACATAACAAAGAGACAGAGCTAAAAAAAAAACACTCCACATAGTCATACATACTGTGAAGGAGAATCCAGAGAAATCAGTGTTTTAGTGATGTGACTCTTGAATGGAAGGATTTACCTAGAACCCTGACTTCCCTGGAGGACATTGAATTTAATCTTAAGCATTTCCTGGTGATGGAAAGCATCCTGGTTTGTCTTTGAAGGCAATGAGACTTCTTGACTTTCACAACTCCCAATTCTACAGGAGGCTATTTGATAACTTGATAAGTAAGCACCTGTAGTGCTTGAGTTCAGCGTTGTTGTGTATGATGTTTGAGGATATTTTACAGTCGCTCGGCTTTATCTCATCAGTCTATAATTTCACTTTCTTTGTAGACTTGTCTTTGCACATCAGATAGAAGGTCCTTTGATGTTGTCTGCTCACCCTTGAAAACATGTACTGTATGTGTCAAACTTCAGAGAATGGCAGACAAGTCTTTGGATCGCGGGCCATGGACAGGATGTGCGGTCATGTTTCTGCAGTCGCTCTGTCCTGGTGTGAACCTGCTCTCTCTCTACAAAGACCAGCAGGGAAAGTTCATCATTTTCAAAGTCATTAAGCTGACACTTACAGGTGAGCGCTCTAGCTGGGTTCTAAAAGGCATATCTAGCATGCTAATTTAGACAAATTGGTTCCCAAATAATAACACAAATAATAACTAAAGACAAATATGTATTTCTTGGATGTCACACTTATGAATGAGTATTTTTCATGGTCAGATTCTGCTGGAGGTCTGGGTGGTTATGAGATACTTAAGGTCCATGATGCTGATCCCTTTCTGGGGGTGGAGGTGAAGTTTGTGGACGTGGCAACATGTCAGCAGTTCCTCGAGAGCTACAGCTCTGGAACGGTGCGCCAGTCCCTCTCCCAACATGCCTGCCGGCTTCTTGCTCTTCCCCAAGAGCTTGCAGTGGAAACCCAGCTTAAAGCCAGCACACACATCCTGGATCTCTATCTGGACAAGCTGGAACTTTGCCTACAACACATCCACCTGTCACAGGTAAACTGGACGTTTCTGTTTGTCTATTTTTTGGGAATTTTGAGAGGAAGCTCCAGTATTTCAAATTTTCAAGTGGTTGGTACTCAGATAATCAGACAGCCATTTCATTTCACGTCATTCATTCAGCCTTATGTGTTCATGTTAGCTGATTTTTGTCATCCTAACCTCTCACTAGATCACATTGATCAAAGAAACGAGTCAAGTTGTTATTTCTGTAAGACTTTTATAGCTGTGTTTATCTCATCCATGCTTGTTGCTGTTTTTCATGAACTTAGCTAGGTAGCTAACTAGAAATGGAGGAAGATGACCTCCCCATTCTTTATACCGAATAATAAGTACTTATTGGTTATTCCTTGTGAACAGCCGTCATTGAGGACAACCTCGGATGTATTTGAATCTCTGGTTGCGCACTGTTTAGCTGTGCCAAGCACTATAAAAAAACAAAACCAGTTGTGAAAAACATATTCAAGAATAAATATCCCACTTCCACAAAAAATATAATAAAACAGAAATACTATAATGGCTCAGTCCAGTTTGTTTGGCTGAATATTTTCTCACACAAGGCACCATTTAACGTTTTCTCAAAATACCTACTTGAGTATGGGAACAAGCTATAGCTCATAATGGCAAAAGATTTAAATAAATTGCAGATGGTGGTGGGACAAGATTTTCAAACAATTTTGTTCTCTTTGAGAAGTTTAATTGTCTTTCTAAATTTGCAGTTTCACTGACATTGACATGCATTTTGTTATTTCATGTTGTTTCAAGTATTTAGATTTTCTGCATGCTAACTGCAAAAACATGATTTCTTGACAGGCAGATGAATAAATAGCTCAAAAAAAGAAACCAGCAACACCATAGTGTGGGTGGCAGGAGGAACATAAAAAAAAAATCAGTTAAATGTTCTCATTTATATTTTTCAATTGAAGTGATCTTTGTCATTTTGTGTCAGCCGGAGCGCCTGCGTGATGAGGAGATTGATCATCTGGAGCAGCAGCTGCAGAATCAAGCCCGCGGTCCTGCCTCGCAGTCTGCCACCAACAATCAGGAAGGGCTTCCGGACCCCAGCAACGACTTCGAGTTTCAGAATAGAAAGTTTGGTGAGTCAAGATGAATTTTTCTACTTTCGAGTCTTGTGTAGTCTGTAAGTCACAATAGAGATTAAAATAGCCTTTATATCAGATAGGGAGGGTTTTCCCCTTCCTTTTGAGTTGCTCTGTGCGTTTTATTAGATTCACCAGACGCACACGGTTCAGTGAGAAATAGCGAAGAAACCATGCTGCTGACTTTAAATGACCATACAGTTGTTTTGTTTTCACATTTTTGTTACTTCCAGCCATTTCCCAAAGTGTACCATGTTTTTTTAAAATGGATTTCCTATCTTTGAGGCAGCCATTAGTTTCAGTTCATTCAACAATGTGTGTTGAGATAAGAGAGTGAAATTATGGAGTGAGATAAGAAACTTGCTTGTAATATACGTATAAACTATGACAGTGAGCATCGGCCTGCCCTTTTTCTTCTTGCAACAACTGTGTCATTGCTGCAGAGTCGTACAGTCTAGAGGATGTATTGTTTTGAACGTCTGAGATTTAGTACAAGAAGTTGCCAAACTCATTCTGTTCCACAACTTTGCGTATTGATGGTCTTGTGTTACATTTTCTGACAGCATGCGAATTCAGTGCTTTTTGTCAGCCAACTCTAATCCAACCTTTTATAAATTGAAGGTAAGTCTATGGGTTGATATCAGGACCAGCAGATGATGTCTTTGGATTGCATTGATTTAAATTTGTCGACCCCATACTGAACTGTTAATTAGCTGAGGAGGCATTATAAAGACTTGAAAGTTAATCAGATTTTCTAATTGAGTAATTAAAGATTTTATTTCAGTTTGTGTAAATTTAGATTCAGCTCCCTCAGACGCACTACTGTATCTGAGCATGAGGGACTTCTGCTCCCTAAGTGCCTCCTCCAAGGCCTCCAGCAGCAGCTGCCCTGGTTTCAAGTTTAATCTGAATTATGAAACTTGCTTTCATAGCGAGTACAACAAATGTGAAATAAAAAAACAGATCAATTAATTACAAATTCATTTCTGTAAATGCACTCTTTAAATTTATGCATGACCAAATAAATGCAATTTTAAATGAATATTTGGTAGCACTAATCTCTTTCATTCACTCGCTAGGTGACCACATTTGTAAACCCTATATAGTCCGAAGTAGCTGCTACTATATGAACTCTACTGTGGAAAAAAATGTGGTGACTTTTTCTTAAAAAGGCTTCAAGCTATGAAACTTGTCGCACTTCCTCAGTCTTGTAAGTTAAATAAGGATATTGTTCCCTTTAGAGGGACACTGAAACAAAATAGAGCTTCCCAACAGTTAATTTATTAATTAAAAACCAAAGCTCACGTTAGCTTTGTCACTTGGGATTTGGTAAGTGGTGTTGGTGCTTTTGATGGGGAAGTGGGGAAAAATATGCCACCAGTGATATTTACTGAAATGTCTAAGCATATTTTTTCCCATTCTGTCTGTCATTCACACACACTTACAACCATAAAGCTGCACTAATCAATGTATTTGTTTTAACAATAGATTAAATGACTACAGGTAATGTGAAAGGTGTTGCTTGTAGTGGCAACACCCACAGAGAACCATCCCTCACCTCTGTTAAGTTCATTTTCACCGCTCTCATCAGCGCTGTTTTCAGCTGAAGACCTCTGATAAAACCCACTGTACGGCAAGCTGGTGAACATAGTGAAGCATTTAGCAGCTAAAGAGTCAGGTATTTCCCTCAGGATTTGTCTGGGACCAAGTCAGTGCTAAAAGGAGAGAAAATGTTGAACAGGTGGACACAAACACGACTCCAAATAAATGCTAATGTTGCTGCTCTTCTGCTGGATGTGTAAATAGCAACCGGTTGCCAACGTGTTCTCCATAACAACGTGATAACATGTTTGTATCCCTGTCCCCAAGTGGCCTAAAAAATCAATTAATGCTGTTTTAATGCTTCAGAGACATTAGATTAAATGATAAACAGAGACTGAGCAACAGCTCCTGTTGACAAAAGAATGATTAAGGCCTAATGTATATAAAACATCCTGTTGATGTTAAGGTGCTTAGCAAGTCTGCAAGTTATTAATAGAAATGTTTACTGTTTACACATTTGTTTACAAACTCAGAATTAATGTTATCACAATTAAGGACAATTTACATTAATGTTTTTTCCTTCACCCTTTGTCCTGTGGCCCGTCAGAGGACCGAATGCTGACAGCGGCAGATGTTCAGAGCTTTTCTAACGGAGTGGGCCGTCAGTGGAAGCATGTAGGGAGGGCCCTGGGGAAGAGCTGTCGGGCTCTGAAGGGTCCGGCTATAGACAACCTGGCCTACGAGTACGAGAGAGAAGGGCTCTATGAGCAAGCCTACCAGCTGCTCAGCCGCTTCATCCAGGCGGAAGGGAGAGCGGCCAAGCTGAGCCGGCTGGTCAAAGCACTGGTGGACTGCAAACTCACCAGCCTGGCTGAAAATATTCTGGACATACAGCCACGAGAGTAACTGTGTGCACGAGTTGTGAAAACTGAGGGGACAGGTCCTCTCTACTGTCTGCTTTCACATACAGTATGTTTGTTCTTGTTGTCTGTTGTCCTCACTTTTAAATCATTCCTGTGTGTCTGTGTGTGCATGTTTCAGACAGGTTATGTGAACACAAGAGATTTGAGTCATATCTTGATTTGCTTTTCAATTATAAGTAGTATTGATTATTGTTCCCATTTATATAAAATGATCTGCCATCACTGAACAAATATGCTGTCTTGAGTTTAATGCACTGTTTAAACAGTCGTGTTTGTCTTTTGTGGAAGTGGGACCTGTTGGGTCTCGTCACTAATGAGTGCACAACTGAAGGTTACTGATTGTTTTTTCTCTCTCGCTCTCCAAAATGGGTTCATACAAATTAAATGGTTGTGTAAAAAAAAGTCTTCACGTTGTGTTTGATGCATTAGTGTAATTAAAACTGAAAACATAATTTTATCAAAATTCCCTCAGGTATAATTTAGTGTTAATCCTCCCTCTCTACCGTCTCTCCCTCTCACTCAAACACACACACACACACACGTGCACATGCTTATATGATTAAACTGCTGATCACCGATGTGGTCGCTGAATGTGTGTGTGGGCCTGCATGTGTCACGTTGTGGGAGCTTCAGGTGGAAATTGCTGGCAAAGAGGAAATTCACTGATGGATGTAGTCTCTTCAGGTTGAGCTCCTCTGCTGGTTTCCATTCAGGGTCCACTGTAAAAGCCCAACCCCCCTTTTTACTCCACTTGACCATCCATCCAGATGTGATGTGTGGATTAGAAGCATCATGTGTTTACATTGGCTACAACCTGCCTGTAACTATCATGAAGAGGTTTTGTCCTCAGTAATATTTCTGGGAATTTCTGGGGTTTATGACATAAAGAGGAGTTGGCATTGTATACTTTCACATGCTGGGTTTTAAAGCTGATTGTGATATTTTTTAAAGCTAAACATCTTCAAATTACATACGTGGCAGTGTATGACATGTAGACCATAATGAAGGACCAGAATGATGACCTCTGTGTGTCCAGTCTGTCTCTGCCTGTAACTGTGAAGATGCTGACACACACACACCAGATAAACTGTCTGATTACACATTTGCTTATGATCTGCACAAATGGAGAGTGATTTACGGAAGTACTCTACTTGAAACACATTTTTGAGGTACTTTACTCGAGTATTTCCATTTTCTGCTACTTTATACTTTCTATTCCACTAATGTTACATTTCAGAGGCAGATATGGCACTTTTATGCATTCACATTTATTTGACAGCTATAGTTAAAAGTTACATTACAGATTAAAAGATTTTACATAACTAGTTTCATAGAATATAATGCATAGGTACAGATTAAAGTAGGTAAAATAAGCTTCACCAAGACCAGCAAAAATATTCTTACACATTTGTGTATTAGTAGTAATAACCTAATTCATTTAACGTCTGCAGTTACTAGTTACTTTGCAGATTATTTATTTATTTATAAGAGACATAATTTTATAGAACATGATGCATTGGTACAAATGAAAGTAGGTAAAATAAACTCCACCTAGACTAGCTAAAAATTACAATACTTCTTATACGTTTATGTAGGCCTATTAGTAATAATAACTTAATTAATTTAAGGTCTGTAATTGTTACTCTGCAGACCAAGTTATAGGTTATACAAAAACTATGATGAGCTTATGAAATACACTGTACTGTAATTGTGTATTTTAACACCTTGGCATTACTTGTAAGTAAAGGGTCTTAATACCTCAAACTGTGTTTTACTCTTCCACAACTGATTATCTGACCATATTTTTATGTAGCCAGGGCTCATTTACAGTTTGTCTTGTGCTTCTCGTCCACCACCATGCCTGTGTGTTTCAGGCCTGTTTATGTTTGTAGAATAAAATCATTCTGGCGACGGTGCGTTTTTATTTTTCAACAATAGCACAATTTCCACTAATACCGAGAAACAAGAAGGCAACGTTTGCCATTTAGACGGCTCATTCATTTTGAATTATCTTTCATAGGACGTGATTAAAACTCGGCTCTGACGTAAGCGAGATTGTCCGCGTTAGGTGAGTCTCGCGCAGCCAGCCCTGCTTCCCTCCTCCTCCTCTCGCGCCCCTCCTGCCTGCCTTCGTGAACAGATACCGAAGAAATCGCTCGCGCTCGCTGTCATCCTCACCACCAGCGCCGCCCTGTAGAGAGAGAGAGAGAGAGCTCGAGGCCCCCACCTCCCCACCTAACAACAACCCCAACCCCGCAGGCTCGAGCACAACGACCCCACCCCCCAATCCCCACTGAGAGAGGAGACGGAGCGAGAGAGGCGCATACAGAGTCACGGAGAAACCCGTTTCTGGATCCCGGCTCTGTTTTGCCCTCAATCCGGGCCTAATGCTGTAGCGGACAGCGCAGGAGGAGAGCTCGAGCGAGAGACAACGCATTGATTGAGAGTCGGCGAGGGACAGGGCGGACCGGAGAGACGACGGGATTGCTCATTCGCCTGGAAACATGGGATGTACACTGAGCGCCGAGGAGCGCGCAGCTCTGGACCGGAGCAAGGCCATCGAGAAAAACCTGAAAGAGGACGGGATGGTCGCCGCCAAGGACGTCAAACTGCTTCTGCTCGGTAAGAGAAGAGCCTCTGCGACCGCGGGGCTGCTGCGCCTCGGCGCGGCACGGCTCGGTTTGCCTGTAGTGGGACTGCATGGGGCGGAGGTGCTCTCCGTGGTACTGATTTCCCTGCCGGCTCTCACTCTGCCTTCCGTTCTTTACAGGCGGCGGGGAGTCCGGCAAAAGCACCATCGTCAAACAGATGAAGTAAGTGTCTTTTTTTGGCTTATTTATAACCCTCTTCGGCACAGCCAGAGTAAAAGGCCCGAGATTGCGCCTCCCCTATCTGTGCTAAGGCAGGTTGAGCCGCCATGTTTCGAGAGGCCGTAGCCCCGGAGCAGTGCAGGTGACTCGAGCACCTCCTGCAGACCGACAGTGAGGCTGCGGAGGCCGCACCGGTGCGTCCCAGGGTGCTGTTCAGCGCCTGGGTGCTGAAATGTAGTTAACGAGCATTTTACTTGACTACAGGGTGTGTGCGGCTGGGGATATGTGGGTGTTGTTCCTCTATGCGTGTGTGTGTGTGTGTGTGTGTGTGTGTGTGTGTGTACGTGCGTGCATGTGTGTGAATTACATCGAGGTCACTACAGCTCCATTAGTGAATACCTCTGCTTTTAATCTTAATGGCTTTAAGTGCCCGATATCGCCTGGAGTACTTTGGGTATAAAGCGGATTTACGCAGAAATATGGCTTCTAAAACCGCATCTGAACCTTCCCCTGTCTAAGCTAAATCACTCTTTGATGTTTTAAATCACTGTTGTTTTCTCTAAACCTCTTAGTTACGTTTCTAGATGTTTCAGTCCGGAGAAAGCTTCGGTCCATTGTATATTTTTCTCTCTTGTGAAACATCTCTCACAGTGTTTTGCGGGTAGGATTGTGTCTCTCTCTGCCTGCGTCCTGCTCAGCGCATCCCGGCCTGCAGTGCACTGACTGCACCCTCCCTCCCTCCTTCCTTCCCTCTATGCCCTGCTTCCTCTTCTTCCCTCCACCTCATTAGCCTCCCTGCCTGGTTCTCCATAAGTCACTGCTCTGCCATGAACACAAGACACTGGGCAAGAGAGTATTTACAAACACTGTTCAGGGTCAGTTTTAGTCTAAGCAGACAGCAGATGGATGGGGTTTTATGCACACTGTGGGTCATAAAGTTTGGAGTGTAAATTTAGTATGCACTGCTGTGATTGTCCACTCATCATCATCATCATCATCATCATCATCATCATCATGCTGTGCAGGTTAGTATAAGGGGTGGAAGTTTCTTTACAAGGTTTTATCTTGGCCTGGATAGTTTTATCACTGCAATTAGAGTGAACCTACATCTGATGTAGTAGAAAGTCCACAAGAAATATTTGCCAGAACAATTTTAAAAACATTAAAATGGTCAGAAAAAATATATAGTAGGCTAACCATAGATGAAAATATGTACACAATTAAGGATTATATGAATTAAACAACACAACACAAAACTTGATTGGTGATGTATACAAACCATACTCTCAGCTGCAGAAATGTCAGTGGTGTCTATTTTTAACACTTTTCTCTCTTCAGATGCTGTGATCGCTCAGCTAAGTTTTCATCCATTGCAAACACCCTGGATATACAGCTAAAAACGATTAGTCCATTAAATTAAAAATTAATCTGCAGCTATTTTGATCATCTATTAATCATTATCTCTGAAGCAAAAGTGGCAAAAAGTCACTTGTTCTGACTTTGCTAAATGCGAGTATAGTTTCTTCGTTTTCTAAGTTTGTTTTAAGTTGAATATCTTTGAATTTTGGACGAAATGACAAGTTTGAAGATGTCACCTCTTGGTTTTGGACACACTTTTTATAAACCAGACAGTTAATCCAGAAAACAATGTGCAGATTAATCAATAATAAATATTAGTGTTAGCTGCAGCCTTAACTGTATATTAATGTGAACTTCTGTCTATGGCCTATGAGACCTATTCACTTATCATCCCTAAGTACATACACACACTAAACTCACAATATAGACAAAATCACCTCCTCTTTCAGGGTTTCAACCACCAAGATCCTACAATAGCCACAATTATTTTAGAGCTGAAATGATTAGTTGATTAATCGATTAGCTGACTGACAGAAAATTAGTCTGCAACAATTTTGATGATTGAATAATCGTTTTAGTCTTTTCTTTTTTTTTTTTTTGCAAAAACACCAAACATATGCTGGTTCCTGCTTCTTAAATGTGAGGATTTGATGCTTTTCGTCGTCTTGCATGAAAGTAAATTGAATTCATTTGGACCGCTGGTTGATAAATACAAGACATCACCTTGGGCTGTGGAAAAGGAAGCATGCGTTGTCCACAGTTTTCATCGACAAGGAGATTACTTGTCAGACTAATCACTAATAAAAAATGATCGTTAGTTGCAGCCCTAAATTTTTTAATGGCCTTTGTTGTTTGAAACTGCACCTCTGCTCCTTTCACCTGAAGGTTAATGTTTAATTTCTTACAACTGTTGATTTTTGGTCGGTCTCTGCTATAAAACATCTTAGACGAATAAAGGTAGAAGCCATCATCCAAGCATTATTTGTTTTCCTCATCAAACGCCAATCGCTGATCACAAAGAGACACTGCAGAAGTTTAAATGTGGATTGCAGGTCAGTTTCAGGACGTCAGGGGGAGTGTGTGCTATTGGATAGGTTAATGTTCAGCAGATTATAAGGAGTTAAACTGTGTCGTACTAAATGTACCAATAGCGTCCTGTGTAGTGTGATTGATTAGTGCCCTGACTGATTCCACTCCATTGCCCGTCATAAATTATAAATGGCTTAAATATCACATTACTGTCCAATTACAGCTCACAACCTGAGAATGTGATCAATTTCCATCCCATTTTACACAGACACACTTAAAGATGCATTTTAGGTAGAGATGGCAGGAAGAAAGGAGAAAGGAGTATAAAATGTATGTGTGGGACAGAAAAAGCTCTTATTGTGAAAAGACTCTTGTTTAGATCTGCAGGAACATATGGATATGTGTTTAGTCCATGCTTGTGTCTAACATCTGTGTGCGCTTGCAGGATTATCCATGAAGATGGCTTTTCTGGGGATGACGTGAAGCAGTATAAGCCTGTGGTCTACAGCAACACCATCCAGAGTTTGGCAGCCATCCTCCGAGCCATGGACTCACTGGGCATCGAGTTCGGAGACAAGGATAGAAAAGTTAGTCTCACATTAACCGAGCAGCTGAAATGTTCACCTACAGACTTCCTTTTGGTTTCAAGAAATCAGTCTAGTAATATGTGGCTTTTGTAATTGTTTTGTAGTGTTACGTTAAAGAAAATCATTGCGTAAAATGATTTATGATGTTAACAAAATCCCACTATACCATTAAGACGTGATAAATAATAAATGTTCCTCTTTCCCTGATTGTACGAAATGTGTTCCAGGCGGATGCTAAGTTGGTTTGCGACGTGGTCAGTCGTATGGAAGACACAGAGCCGTACTCTGCAGAGCTTCTCACTGCTATGAAGCGTGTATGGGCCGACGCCGGGACTCAGGAGTGCTTCAACCGTGCCCGGGAATACCAACTCAACGACTCTGCTCAATAGTGAGTGGAGCAAAAGGACCATAAGAACCCCTATTTGCAAAACAAAAAAACCCCACCAGTCTTCTAATCCACATCCTTCTTAATCTTTGTTCCTCTTTTAACCAGCTATCTGGACAGTCTAGACCGGATCGGGGCAGCAGAATACCAGCCCACAGAGCAGGACATCCTGAGAACCAGAGTGAAGACCACTGGCATTGTTGAAACCCACTTCACCTTCAAAAACCTCCATTTCAGGTAAAGTTCATTGGAGTCGCTGCGGTGTCAACAACTTGGCCTTTGTTGTTGCCGTTTAATTTTAGGATTAGGGTGAGGAATTATAGCTCCCGATCTGAACTGACTTCTTGCACTTTATTCCCCAGGCTGTTTGACGTGGGAGGTCAGAGGTCAGAGAGGAAGAAGTGGATCCACTGCTTTGAGGATGTGACGGCCATTATCTTCTGCGTTGCTCTGAGCGGATACGATCAAGTGCTCCATGAAGATGAAACGACTGTAAGTGTGACTGGGTTTATTCAGCCTGAATCCCTCTGGTGCACAATTCATGGCCGATATCAGGGCGTCCCGATGGCCTAGTGGTTACGATCCGTATGATATAACTGCAACATTACCAGTTCGAGTCTGGATGAGGACCTTTGTTGCATTGATATCCTCACTTCTTCCCTTTCTCTTTCAATCTCTGATTCCCATCTCCATCTCTAAAGTTCCCTCTCTGTTAAAGGCAAAAGGTTAATAGCTACAGATTGAAAATGCCAGTAGATGTATTTGTCTATATTCACATCACATTTTTTATAGAAATAGTTCAAAGAATTGCAAAATTTCAGTGTTTCTCTCTCCACTGAAGTCAAGTCAAACATATTCAGAGCATAGGTTCTTATTTATATATCCCAATTTGTCTTAGAGTGCTTCACAATCTGTGCAACACCCTCTATCTTTGATTAGAATGAAGAAAAATGTCATTTAACATAAAGAAAAGGCAAAAGAGGAAGGCCAGACAGTGAAACTACCACTGCTACCGCCAATAAACTGTAAAATCCATTTAAAATCAAATGTTGTTGTATATTATATGTATATTTTATATATTTTCTACTTCTTTGGAATAAATTGTAAGCGTGTGCGTTCAATGTCAGCCAGGTCTTAGGGGCTGGGTTAACAAGAAAAATAGGAATCTTTTAAATGTTCTGTTCCTCGTTGATGTTCATTAAAAAACATTTGAAAGATAAATCTATAAATTAAAACTGCTTCCCATAGACGACCCCTTTGGTAAATTGCGGAGTAGTTGTTACACTGGCATTATTTGAGCCCTTCTATTACAGGCACTCTCCTCACTGTAACACAAACCACATATTCATTCTTCCTGCAGAACCGCATGCATGAGTCGCTCATGCTCTTTGACTCCATCTGTAACAACAAGTTCTTCATCGACACCTCCATCATCCTCTTCCTCAACAAGAAGGATCTGTTTGCTGAGAAGATCAAGAAGTCACCGCTGACGATCTGCTTTCCAGAATACACAGGTGAGTCCTTCATTTCTGAGCAGAGCTGCCTCACGAGCGTAGTGATGAACCCTGGTGCCTCATGCTGTCTGCTCTGTTTCCTCCTTTTGTCTCCAGGTGCTAATACTTACGACGATGCTACTGCATATATTCAGGTTCAGTTTGAGAGTAAGAACCGCTCTCCCAATAAGGAGATCTACTGTCACCTGACCTGTGCCACAGACACAGGAAACATCCAGGTAGTGTTTGATGCCGTCACTGACATCATTATTGCAAACAACCTTAGAGGGTGTGGCTTATACTGAGGCCTGGCCAAGCACAGAGGTTGTCATGAGGAGTATGAGGTGTTAATAATGATAATTTTGATGATACTTAAACACATAAATATGTAACTCTACACGTCCAAATGGACCCAAAGAGCTGCCGTCAGACACCACACTGGATTATTGCCATGATTTGTTCCCTTCCTCTTATTTTGATTTCAATATACAACCCATTTTGTCTTATAAAAATGTGTTTTTAAGCTGAATGTTTCATGTTTTGTTGATGACTGTGTCAACAACTGGTAAGGTCAGAAGCGGGCAGCACCAGGGGTATATTCAGCTGGAGCCTTGTTTTGCAAAACTCAGCCCAGAAAATGCAACGCGAGGAGTGTGCAATGTAATTTTTAACCCAAGCGTGGAACACCGTCTCATCCTCTATGTGACATTTTTATGTGCAAGTCTCGAGGCATTTATATCTGTACTGAATATAGCCTGTTGTGCTCCGTTTGAAGAGCTGCTGTGTGTATGAAGGTGGAGATGATGGTGTTGTTGGGGAGGTGCTGTACTCGTGGCTGAGGGTCATGGTTGGGAAGGAGGCTATTTTAACTTTCAGACGGGACAAAGCTCCCCTCTCCTTCAGACCCACACATGACTGAGTAGCCTGCAGGTCTGTTCCACTCTCTGTTTTCTCTTTTACTTTAAAACATAATGAGAGGATTCTTCTGTTCAGAGTGGCTGTCCATTGCCATTGGCCTCCTGTAGCGTGAGGAAATGCCTATCAGCTAATGATATCTAAAAAAAAAAACCCATCATATCGGTGCCAACCATCTGAAAAACGACAGATTCTGGATCAGAAATCATATCTCATATGTTCATACTATCAACTCACTTTATTTAAGTAACAGATATAACATTTTATTATCATCGAATGATTTATTTATTTAAACCTCATGCCCTACATGCCTCCTCCTACCTCCTGAAATCCCGTGCCACATATTTATTTCCTGACATGAAAAACTGGGATACACCGAAACCTGTCTACAGTTCAGAGGGTAGAAAGCAGCCCTCCAATGACATCTTGTTCTCTGTGTGGTGCTTTACCCTTCGATGTGAATCTGTGTAGAAATAGACGACTGCACGAGGAGAACAATATCATTTGAGGCAGCCTCTTTCTAGGGAGTTTTTAAACCCTCTTCTCCCCTGATCAGTAAACAGGGAACCCCCCCCCCCCCCCGTCTGTCATGTTTCTCTTCTCACAGAGAAAAAGTACAGCTCTCCATTTTCACCTGTGCACCCAGAAATTCAGCTTTCCGTCCCCGTCTACTCTTATCTATCACATATCAGTCCCCATATCCTATCTCCATTTTCACCTTAAAAGCACCGTACTGTATATATATTATGATTATACCAGATTTTTTTTTTTACTGTGAATGTTTTTGTGCTGCACCCCCCATCCTATTTGGTAGTTTATTGGTTGCTCTCATGTGGAATGTTTGTGCTGAGCCAATCGAATGTTGTGTTTACATTAAAGCCACACTTTTCCTAACTATTCATGCGTTTGTGTTCTGAGTCTGATTACACTGGTAGAGGGTTGACAACAAACTGTGCACCGTCCTCTCAGCAAAAGTTTAAATACCCACTGACCTGCTTTAATCTGTGCGGAGAATTAAGGTTAGACCAGGAAATTAGGCTGAACATTATGAGAGTGGAGCACTTTTTAATGCTTCATTGCCTGTTGAACACAGCTTTGTATTTAGTGTCAGAAATATATAAAAAAGATTGGGAACAGGTCTTGCATGGCAATAGAGCAGCTCTTCGTGAAATGTGGCGGATGGCTGGGATCAGAGGCGTTGCCCAGTGGCTCTCAATTTATTAGGTTAAAAGTGTTCCATCATCACAGATAAGGAGCTATTCATATATTGAATGACTAGGCTGGATCAGCTGTCTGACCTGCTTCTCTCACTTTAATGGGTATGATGTTCATTACTGCTCTGTTTCACCGACAGCCGCAGAGCTCCTCTGCTCGGTCCCAGTGTGTCCTCGATTCTCAGAGCCAGTTACAGGTTAAAAGGTTGGAACTCCCAGCGTGTCACAGTTACTCTTTTTAATTATACATTTAAGAGAATACTCTCACATTCACACAAACCATGCCGCTAAAAGCTGAGCTGCAACTCTGACACAGACTGACATCAGCCAGGGAGTCTGAAATGTCCAGGGTGAGCAACGCCAAAAAGAAATCCCCGGTCATTTTTACCGAGTCCTGCGCACGTTCATTTACAGAAACATTGATTTGTGCAGAGCTCTTTAGTGAAAAGCATCACAAGGTGGGTACTGCACGGTGATCCCTGATAAACCAGCACACTGGTTTGTGTGTTACAGTCGCAGCCTCTTGATGTCTTCGCTTCTGAAATCAATACGCAGCGCTAGAACCTGACGCACCTCCGCCGGGGTCAGCCGCCACGTTAGGGGACCCGAGTTTGGGCCCCAGTAATCCAAGATCTCAGTTACCTGCAGTATAAAAAGGTACAAGTGAGTCTGTGTAAACCAAAAAGTATTCAGATCCTTTAGTATGTAGCAATGCTGTAAGTAGCAATACCATAGTGTGAAGTATTTTTAACTAAATGTACTTTTAAAGTATCAAACGTAAAAGTACTCATAATGCAGAAAATAGCCCCTGTGAGTGTTAAACTATTAGATATCATATTACTGAATTGTTATTTTGGATACATTAATGTCTAATTAGCATTTTACTGTAATTTGTTTTTAGGGCAGTTTTGCAAAAAAGGTCCAGGGTCCGACTTAAACTAGGGATGCTGCTATTTCATGGTCAGCATCTATTGACCCCAAGGCCACCTTGATGCCCAGTTTTACTGTTGTAGTTGGTCGAGGTGGAGCTAAATGAAGTATTTTACATCTTGTCAGTCATTATTTTATAACAACACATAATATTTCATAAAATCATGTATGTTTTGTATATAAAATCCTAATCTATAAAGTAGCTAGTAACTAAAAAATATTTTCCAAGTGAAGTGCAGCAAAGTAGAAGTAAAGTAGCATAAAATGAAATTACTCAAATTTCTACTTGATTAAATGTAATTAGTTACATTCAACCACTGGTGTAAACTGCTACAAATGTTATACAAAAACACATGAAATGAGCTTTTCCACCGATGTATATTCTGTTTATGTGTGTGTGTAAAATGATCTGAATTACCCGCTCAAGGTTGAGGATGGTGGCCATTTGTGTGAGACGAGCGAACTTGTCCCTGATGGTCCAGGTGGTCACAGTGGTGAGGTATGCCACAAGAGACCGAAGCTCTTTATCAAACTGCAGCCCTCCAAGCTACAATGACAAGGATCAGAAACAGTGAACACACAAACATATAAAGTACAAGCATTTTTTTTTTAGGTTTCCCCTGAACGCACTGCTAAAAATAGACTACGATGCTATCGTGCAAAGAGGAAGCTCCTGCTCTTTCTGGACTCATTAATAAATCATTGCCTGAGGATTTTCACCACATGTGTCAGAAATTATGTGATATGAAGTGAGTTCTCAGCGCCACCTTGTGGCCGAGCCCGGCTCCTCACCCTGCTGAACGAGCATTTGAGAACAGTCTTCTCCATTTCAATAGATATCAAGCTGGTCATCAGGCTGGTGAGCGTGTCGTAGATGACAGGAGAGAGGGCCGTCTGGCGAGGAGACAGAGAGAAGTTTTAAAAAAAATGGAGAACAGACCTTTTGGAGCCTAACTGAGATGTTGCTCTGACAAGATACCTTGAACTCCGCCATGAGCTGCTCCAAGTTAACAATGAGCTGCTGCACCCAGGGATCATTAGCTTCGTAATCATTAAACTCCTCCTGTGAGGAACAACAGCAGTTACAGCAACATGTTTCATGATCTCTGATTTATTTCTGGCCACTATTATGAGATCATTACCTCTTCTATGTTGTGTGAGATGGACAGGAAGCTGCTGATCCAGGGTTTGACCTGAGGCTTTATGGCTGTTGTGTTTAATTCAGTCAGGCCCTCCTGTGAAATACAATCACATCAGAGTATGAAACTTTTACCACTCGGTGGATACAACCAAAGAAGCTTATAGTACCATGAGTGGGTCCAAATTGTCACACATTTACAAGACCTCGGATACATGTTTTGTATTATAATTCCAACTGGAGCAGGAGGTTTTCATCCCTCCTCTTTAAAATGACTAAACATAAGGGATTTGAGTAGTTTTCTCCTTAAAATGTACATGTATTAAGGAAAAACCTTACCAGATCTTAACAAAATTGGATTGTACTTCTTTTTGTCAGTAACTTTACCATTAAATAAATAATTTAGACATTGCTTCCGTCTGCTGTGGTCTGTCACACTAATCCTTTAAAACACTGTAAGTAACTCCATACACAACTCTCAGTTGACAAGCACCGATCGATGTATGTGTGTGTCTCCAACCTGTAAGAGATCCTTGAACTTGGTGGAAGTGTTGACAAGGTCGGACAAACAGCTTTCAATCTTGGCTTGATCGCCAGAGCCGGCGCCCTGAGTGAACAACTTGGAGCAGTCGTTCTGCGGGGAGGGGAACAAAATAAAAAAACCCGTTTCCAAGCTATGGTGAAATTGATAAATGAAAAGATGATTAGAAGAGATGCAGAGTGCTAGCACTGATGTGTAACTTACCTCAAGGTTCCTCTTTAAAGTTGTGATATTCTCACTACACACCTCAACATTATTCAGAGTCACCTGAGATGGAAAGAGTGGAAATTAAGGATTCTTACAGCCGATACAGTTCAGTATGATTCAGTTCTATTCACTTATTCTTTCTCTGAAAATATAATCTGCACAAAACCTCTAAGGTCCAACTGTTGAAATTCCAATATACTTTTTGACAAACGGGTTAAAAGGTTTTTGAAGTAGTGCTTCCTTCAGCTAAGAGACATTTTAAAAATTAAAGCACTACTTGGATCACTTAAAATCAGAGGAGGTTATTCATGCATTTGATTCACCCATTTAAATTATGGCAGCCTGTTTAAAATAAAAAGCCTTGTACAAAAATTTGAATGTTTAATTTTTGTCATAGTGCGGCCAACAATTTCTAAAATACAGCCTGAGAGCGAGGAGGAGATATGTATGCATGTGTGTGTGTGAATTTGTCTTACCAGAAATGCAGCCTTGGCGTTTTCGGTGCTCTCGATGCCCAGTGTGTTGAACTTGCCCTGCTGCAAGCTGCTCTGCATCAGACTGACCGCACTGCTGACGCCACGCTGGATGTCCTGAAGCGTCGTAGCTGGGAAGCCCTGTCGCAGCTTATTATACAACACCTCCCTGACAGGTGAAGAGAAAAAGAGCAGGAACATGCATGAGACGTGAAAAACTAAAAAGAAGTGTTGAATGCGTAAACTGGAAGGTGAAAGACTGAGCACCTGAAGTCAGACTCCAGCACAGAGTTAGCGTGGTTGATCATGGCACACAGGCAGTCGATGCTGGAGCTGGATAAAGCTCTACTGATGCACTTCTTCACAATGTAGAAACAGTCGTCCACCATGCTGGAGGTCAGCTGACCCTTTTCATATGTATCCATAGTAACAGCCTGAGGAGGAAATTTTAAATTCAGTTTATTTAATTAATTTAAATGAATTTTCTGATGAGTAAATATTAAATTTAATGTGGGAAATACAATGTTCTCCTCAAAAATCTCCTAAAAGTCTGACAATTGAATTACTTGAATTGATAACAATTTCCTAGTATGTTATCTGTTATAAATTCACATCTGTTCTTAGGGCCACGTGGTTATTTCATCTTACAT